AAGGTTAAAAATTAAAGATCAAATCAAGGAAGAGTTCCAACAAAATTCACATACAGTTCCCTGCAGTAACCTACTTGCATTAACATCGTATCTTGTATCTTTAGGCTTATGCATCAGGATGTGATGTCGTGATACTACTAAGTGGCTTCACAAGGGTACAGATTATCCCAGGATCCCTGTATGGATACAAGGAAGTCAGTTGTGTAGATTGCTGTGACACTGATGGAAAGGTATAAGACAAGCACCAGAAAATATCGAAGAAAATAACACCCCCTCCCCACCCTCAAAACTTTTTCAAAAAGTTCAAATTTTCTTACTATGCTATGCCCTCCATATGACTTTACATTATGCCTTGAAAATAAAAGTATATCCCTCATGGGGTAGGCAAATATGTCTCTTATTCATGCATAAGGAAGAGTATTATTTTTGGAGACAGACTAAAAAGGAAGGTTGTGAATTCCTCAAAGGGGTTGGTTTGGAGAGAGTGGCACGGGGGAGTAGGGTACAAATACATATATTAATAAAGTAAACCTATAGACCTCGTCAGAGATAGTGATTATGATGCATTATGGTCTAGCTTGGGTGGACCATGTTGTTTGTACACCCAATCTAAACTACAATACATTTTGTTTATTAAGCTCAAAAAATGTCAATGATTTAGAATTGGCCCAAAATATTTCTTACAATTGAAAAGAGTCTCCTCACCACACCACCCTAAATTCAAGTTTATACTAATTGCAGTAATTGTTGTTCTTGTCAGATTGCTGTTTCTTATGGCAGTAAAGTAGTTGTATTTAGAGCTAAACCAGCAATCCAACCAGCTGACCATGTAAGTGATAACTGCTGTTTCCAAATATGAAAGAAGACATACATTTATATATTCAGGGACTGCAGAGCTAGGGGGCCATAGGCCCTTCCCCCCCCCCCCCCCCTGATAATTTAGCCGCCATGCTAATTTGCACTGGAAATCACATAATTTCTGAGGGTCTGAATTTCAAATTTTTTTGGATAAACCCCCAAGATGCTTCTGCCTGGTGTTTGCTTTGGAAGCCCCCCCCCCCCCCCCCTCCATATTGCAATTGCACATACATTCCTTAGTGTAGTAGAAGTAGTAAAGATCATTTGTGTCTCTTGTTTCAGGGATTTCCATTTCACTGGGAACAGACATCAGAACTTTGTTTGAAATTTAAGATAACATGTCTGTCATGGAATAGAGAAGGTTAGACTTGTCGAAAATTAATTTATTATTAATTATTATTCTTTTACAAACAAATCCAAAGGCTTGTGGAAAGAAACAATGTAACATTTTTATTTTTTGCTCTTTTACTCTGACAAAGGACTAGAGTCCAAAACGTCAGTAAGTTTTTAAATCTTTTCACAGCGTAAAATTTACCCTTTTATCATAACTTTTTTCTTACATTATTTACTTATTTTTGTCTACATAATTAAAGGTAAAAGACTGTTGATTGGCGGTGATTACCTCCAGTTATGGTGCTGTGAAGACAGCAGCTCCTATCCCTCTGATGGACTTACTTCTGCTGATACAGATGAGTTCTGGACATGTATTTGGATGTGCAAGTTAGTATTTCTGCTCTTTCTGTTCTTTTGTCCTTTGCGCTGTGTTATTTGCTAAGGATGTGATCAATACCATGACAGTAATATAGCTTATATTTGTGCCTCTTAATATGAAAAAAATTACCAAAATGATATGCTAGGCGTGATAAGGGCCAGATGTAGGGAGGTTCATTGGATGTTTGTGAAAATACCATTCCTGTTCAAGATGTTCTCATAAATGTGTGGAGTAGCATCTCAGAGACTTGATATGAGATTGACAGATTTTTTCAGGGCAAACCTACAAACCAAAAACTCTACATGTCAAGAACTTTTATTTAAAAGAATAATGATTTTTATTTAACACTCCTTTCTCTGTTTTTAATTGTTTTATTTTATACAACTACAGCCCTGCCGTTCCAATATACCTGGTACAGTTCTCTCCTGATGGTCAGTTTTTTGCATCTGTAGGAAAGGTGACCGAAAATAACCATTACTTGTAGTGACGTTAATGATCATAGACACTCTAATTATATTACCTTGAGTTAATTTCTTTCTTCATTATTATTTTATAGAATGACAGATTAGTCAAAGTTTGGTTTGAAAAGTCTAAAGGTGAGGTTTTCAATTTGAACAAAGTTGACATAGAGCGTTTTTACTCACGTTACAAAGCATCCATATTTGTGTACCAAACAATAGAAACTTTCTGCACAGTTTTTGCATTAAAATAGAGTTCAAGTCTCAGAGGATAGAAAATGTATTGTTTTGGTCCACCAACATGGCCGCTGTGATGTCACGTGAAAACGCTCTATAATAAATGTGCTGTATAAAATCAATGTAACTGTATTTTTTGTCTTTCAGCAGTTGATGTCATCCCAGCAAGCTCTTCTGATGAATCTTCTCATTTCAATACTGCTGAGGATTTTGATTTTTCTTTTGTGTATTTGGCTCACCCCAGAACAGTCACAGGCTTCACTTGGAGAAAAACCAGCAGATTAATGCCAGTGTAAGTATAAAACAAATATATAATACTTTAATACTTATATTGCACATGTTTCATAGAGAGATGGGCACCTTGTTAGCATCAGTGCTGAGCCTTCAACTGTATCGACATCACAACCCCCTGGCAGTGCATCTTGGGATTCATTGAGGAAAGACTTCTCAATTTGCATTGCGAAATATCATAATGTAATGTAAATGCTTAGTCGTTGTGATTTCAAATCAAAACAAAAGACTAGTTATATTGGTTGAAGAAAATGTGCTGAAGTTTGTTATTATGCTAAGCACTAGTGCTGCCTTTTGATCCTCAACATCTTCATGAAAGCAAGGGTGGCAGAGCTGGGTTCAATTCACCTTTTCAGCAATAGCCATCACGTCGTAAACACTTCGTTGGATTGTGTTACGGTCACCAAAAAGTTCGGACATTGTCCTCGGATTCCCATACAAATTCACTGAGTTTAAAGAGAAAATTTAGGTACAGATTTCTTTAGTTAGAGCAGTAAGAAAAGCTTCAATCAAGCTAGAAAAATGATATTTTACTTGTATTTAGAGAACTAAATAAACAAACCAAGTAAATAGTTCATTTAAAGTCACTACATTTGTACGGAAATTCGAGAACGATGTCCGAACTTCTTGGTGACTGTAACACAATTCAACACAATTTATACCACGTGATGGCTAGCGCCGAAAAGGTGAATTCGTGAACTCTGTTTTTTATGTCAGTAGAGTCGCTGATTGGTCCTATCTTTTTGTAAATGTATTCTTTCAGATCCTCAGTGGCAAATGTACTCCTGACATCCTGCATTGATAACATCTGTCGAATATGGTCCGAAACCATGCAACCCACAGAGATAGAAGACATGCCCACTCCACCCCCCTTGGGAAAATTCAAATGTCCAAAGCATAAGAAAAGACCGCCACACAATCCTCTCTCTAAGCACAAACTCATCTCGTCACTACATTTCCATCTTGCTACCTTGGTGAACCCGGTGAACGACATCCCCCTCCTCTCGTCCATGGGATCATTTACTCCCAAGGGAAACCAGAGTTCCTTCATGCTACACTGGCTCAACAACAAGGAAATGCAGTTCACCTTTGCAGCAGAGGCACGCATGGGGGCCCCAGTGCTGGCCCTTGAGGTACAAAGTGTCGATGTCAGTGAAGATTCTTCAGAAGAGAACGATGATCAGTCATCAGATTTTGATATATTAGAGCAAAGTGATGAAAATGTTCTTGATGAGAAGACGAGACTTGGTGAAGCAAATTCTTCTACAGATAGCGAGATAGGTGGGTATCGGGTTTTACTTTGGTGTGGTTGTTCCCTTGTCGTCACTGTTGTTGTTGCTGCTGCTATAGTTTGCTGCTGCTGCTACATACCAACATTATAATCATTATAATTGCTGCTGAAGTCAGTGCTGCTGCAATTTTTGTCATCCACGATGTTTGAAGCTGTCAATTTTAATCTTGATTATTTCATTAACCCTTTAGAGTTGAAAAACGTGGCTTCTAAGATAAAAAAGCCAAGTCCGAAAGAAAAACAAAAGAAGATGGCGGCACCACCATCACCAACCCGGCCAAGAACGCCCTTAGAATACTTAAAGCTGCTACAAGAAGACAACCTACACCGCGATGCCACATCGTCTGCTTTTGATAGCTATGTCACCTATGCCATTGGAGACCTCCTTCGTGAATGGTGCTCAAGCCATGATACACTTATTGCGGTCCATCCAGTTGATGGTTCACTCCTCGTCTGGCTCGTAGAATGGTTGGACTTGCAGTCCACGTTTCAGTTCCGACAGCCTCAAGTCAGTTTTTTATCTCGCATACCCATGGCTATTCCTCCAGCCGATGCTAACTCTCTTCTGCCCAAACTCTACGTGTATTGCCCTAGGGGAGATAAAATAAAAGTGTCTAAAAGCCCCACGAAGCAAGTATCTAGAACTATGTCCCCCAAAACCCTGAGAAATCAGTTTGGAGCGTCTTCGAGTGGTGCTCAGGCAACAGCTATCATGGTGTCGACCCACAAAGATGGCGCGCTTAACCACTGGCAACTCGTCTTTGGTGATAACAATTTATTCTCAACAGTTGTTAGTATCTCGCACGTGGCAAGACGATGTGGGCACAGGTATCCCATCACGACTATTCTAGCCCATCCTGAATTACCTTTATTATTGTCAACGTCAAGTCACGTGATCCAAACCAGATATAGCAAGATGACTGCTGAACCTCTGAAGAATGATACTCCAGGCGGTAAAGTCCACTGCAGCGAGCTTGTAGTGTGGAGGGTTGAGAGCGTCTCTCCTTTGCGGCAAAGCGGAGGGGTCCAGGAGCTGACTAGGATCCATTCCGCCCGGCCACATGCATTTGAAAATATTGCATGGGTCCCAACTCTATTTTCGCACTCACTGATAACATTTGAAAACCCAACATCGCTTCCTCCACAAGCCATCGCTCCGTGTGCGTGCTTTCTGGCATTTGATGGCCAATGCTATCGATTTTACCAAGTCATCCTGGACGCAAGAATGCTACAATCGTTTATTTCCAGTCATAAATCAAGAACAAGGTCAACCTTGTATTCTAGTGGAAGCGAAGAGAGTATTGACTCGTTGGATCTTGAGTCGCCTTCAATGAACGTTCCTGTTGAAGCTTTCATAGAGTCTATTGTAAGTCGTCAATCTGGATCCAACCCTGGGTGTATCCTAAAGCTTTGTTCATTAGTCGATTCACGGGAAACACTTCAACACCCACTATTATTGCACGTTTTCTCAGAACGCTCAATCAAGCCAGGTTTATCGCTGACTACTAGTGATCCTGAACTATTGTTACCTCCCGATGAAGAAGATGACGACGACGGTTCGAAGTCTGAAGACAACTTTTATATTGTTGGGGTAGAAAACGTTCCAGATTCTGAAAACCCTGATCAAAATATTTCAATGATTCATATGTGGCAGATGAAAGTCACTGCAGTCAAGCCAGAGAAAGAGCTTGAGAATGAAGACTTGCTGTCCTACCCCGAAGTACTCCCTACTGTTAGTTCTAATAGCAGTTTCTGTAACAGCCAGCCTTCTTCACGCAGCACAACCCCTCTAAATCTACCTCTCTCTCATCCTGTCAGCACTACTATCATTTCCAGGAAGGTCTGCACTGAACGGTTGAAGCTTCCCCCAGGAGTGAAAATCAAGACAGCAACAAGAGCTGCAGATAAGATGTCTTCCTCGGCTGTCAACCCAACATGTCCAGCTGCTTATATCTTCACGACATCGTGCTCCGACGGGAAGGTACGGTTTTGGTCTTGTAAGGAAACAAAGGATGGGACGTTCACATGGGAAGAAACAGTTTGGCAAGAAGCAAAGCACGATCCTATCTCCATTGCCTCAAGCAACAAGAAAGAAACTTCATTGAAGGCACCAGGAGAAGTCATCTCTCTAAGCTGTGCTTATACTGGTCGCCTTGCTACTCTGGTCAAAAGCTCATCCCTTGGAGGAGAGACTGAGGATGGGTTATTAGTCTGTGTATGGGAGAATGAATCTTCTGGTGGGATGGACTGGGTACTGGAAGATACTCTAAGGTTAAACTGTAACGCGGAGACTGACGCATCTCAGGTTCGTTTAGAGTGGATCTCGGTGGAGAATGGTTCCCATATCCTTACAGTCTGCATCAAGAACGAGATCTTCATCGTCGGTGGTTCGTCACGGATCTCTGACATCTCCATGGGTGGCGAGAGTTCTTTCAGCGGTAAACAAAGCTGGATTCTCCTAGATAGCACACATCTGGCATCTGAGAACAAATGGCAGCTTATGAATAGAGCGCTGTCATGGGCTCGTAACGGCGTGCTTGTTGTCGGCTTGGGTACAGAAATGCAAGTGTATTCACAATGGAAAGTCATCTCAGATGGGACTCTATCTCCATCCGATATCACATCATACGCGCCTACTGCTACCCTAGAAAAGGTCACACACATGACACGGAGGGGGTCCAGTGGGGATCTTGTTGCTCTATCAGCCTCGGGTGGTACAAGACTTGGCTTGTTTGAAGAGGCAGCTGCTATCTTGCCTATCTTGCCGCAGTATCATCCCAAACACTTGATGGAGTTGATGAACTCGGGAAAACTGAGGAGGGTTAGAGCTATACTACTACATCTGGTGCGTAAGTTTTCTGCCTCATAATGACTCCTTTTCACTCTGATTTCACTTCTCACAGGACACCATCAATGCCTAGTGGAGAAAAAGGCTGTGGTTCCTTCTTATTTTTCCTTCCCTTCCCTTCCCTTCCCTTCCCTTCCCTTCCCTTCCCTTCCCTTC